AACATAGAGAGGAGGAGAGAGAAGGAAGGGGGAGAAAGGAAGGAAGGAAGGAAGGAAGGAAGGAAGGAAGGAAGGAAGGAAGGAAGGAAGGAAGGAAGGAAGGAAGGAAAATATGCAATGTCTATGTGCCTCTTCATATTTACATAATATCAAAACAAACTCGAAGATATGGAAACAAAAGATCTCTTTTCTTTTTAAATTCCTATTTTTTTTTTTTTTTGGTCCAGTCATGGGGCCTCAACTCTGGGCCTGGGTGCTGTCCTTCAGCTCTTCAGCTCAAGGCTAGCACTCTACCACTTGAGCCACAGCGCCACTTCCGTTTTTGTTCTTTTTTGTTTACGTGGTGCTGAGGAAACAAACCCAGGGCCTTGTGCATGCAAGGCAAGCACTCTATCACTAAGCTACCTTCCCAGCCCTAAATTTCTATTTTTTGATGATTGTCTTCTTCTCTTTATATATGGTGCATTCAAGTATGTATCTTCAGGTGGGAGGGAGGGAGGCAGAAAGAGTGAAAAAATACAGCTGGACACAGATGAAAGTGAACTACACAACTCATGGGTGGTGACAGGAGGGAGGGACTGGGAGAGAGTGAGGGAACAGAAGAACTGTACAAAAGGAAATTTACTCATTACCTAACTCATATAATTGTAAATTAATTTTAAAAAATAAGCAAAAAAAATTTCATGGAGTATAATCATTAAGATACAGATAAAAATACTATACTAAGACCCACACTCTTCAACATGATCAATTATCATCGTCATTATACAAAGAAGATGAATTTTTGGCTTAGCCAGAACTTACAAGAGTGGAATATCAGTAATTAACTGCACCAAACAACAGAGCAATTCTTCCAAAAGATCTTCTGAATCAGAACCTGGTAAGACACATAAAAAGTTTTTTAAACAATGTATACAATAGAATGAAATTGTTTAGAAGTTAGGTATTCATTCCTAATTAGAATAATTTTATTACCTATATTATGCATATTCCGCATCTAATGTGATTTACATCTAGTATAGGAATTGTGAATACCATCTATGAATAACAGAACTTTTAAAACATTAAGATATTTTAAGGCTCCTGTAGGCCAACAGCTTTCTAATTTCTTATGCTTCAAGTTCTTTCAATTGAATTGTATAGTACAAACAAATATATAAAATAGATTTTAAACAATCAAGTCGCTTTTGCTGGTTCACTTGAAACAAAGGTAGAGGAGCTCTACACTTCCTTGCCATAAACATCTGAGCTTTACCTGATTTTGTTGTTGAGCCACAAGGTACTTTTTATGAACCCATGGGGAGGGACCTGCATATTGCAGACTAAATCACTCCAAGAAGCTAACCACATATTTATAGCCAAAGATAAAATGACTTTCTCAAGTCATAGAATAACTAAATGGCAAGAACAGGATAAAAATTACAATTTTAACAGAAATATTCCTCTACCCTATCTGCTATGGTTATGAGACCTCAAATTTCCAAAGCCAACCAATATCTTCTGAGACTTCTAGGCTTTGGACACTACTGACACATACTCCATGAAATTTTTTCCACAGTAACATTATTTTAACCAACTTTTTAAAAAGACTATTCCTCTGCAGTATCTGCTGTCTCAGAATTACCTTCTCTGGGTTCTTCCACTAGCTGTCTTCTCTTCTTCCTATTCTCTCTCTCTCAAAGATTTGAACTTACATAAGTGGTGATTATAGGTTAATGATTCTTAAGTCTACAGTTCGCTTCTTGGCTTCTATTGACTATCATGTATTTCTATTCAATTGCCTACTAGCTATCTCTAGATATATCACAAGTATCTAAAACATCACATATTCAAAGCAAATTTACTCTCTTAACACTTCAGATTCACTCACTCTCCTTTTCTTTGCCCACAATTTTTATCCTCTTTCTTCTGTATCTGCCTTTTTTCAGTATATCCAATGGCAAAACCTACATTGCTCTCTCAATGATCCTTTAAAAGACGGACTGGGAAGGTGGCTCAGTGGTACAGTGCTTGCCTTGCATGCATGAGGCCCTGGGTTTGATTCCTCAGCACAACATAAGCAAAAAGAAAAAAGCCAGAAGTGGCGCTGTGGCTCAAGTGGTAGAGCGCTAGCCTTGAGCTGAAGAGCTGAGGCCCAGAGTTCAGGCCCCACAACCGGACCCAAAAAATAAATAAATAAATAAAACCAACTGACAATCTCTGGGTCTTCTCAATTATACAGTCAGTCCACCTCTCTGATCTTGCCTCTGTTCTTCACTTCTTCTGCCCAATCTCATCATCTTAGTTCAGTTTACTAAACTAAAACTCATTTCTGAACATCTTTACACTTTCCAAGTTAGGAACATTCATATCCCCAATTTCACTCATCTTCAATTCAAATTCCACATCACTATGGAATGAAGATAACTAAACTCTCTCCTTCATTCTCCTGATGTATACTTTTTGGTACCTTAATCTGTTGATAATATATTAGGAAAAAATTCTAAATTATAAAGTAAAGCAAGCCGGAATCTCTAGTTTATAGGTTCTGCATCCTCTTCTACTTCTACTATTCCTTCACAGTGGGTATCCTAAAGCCATTGATTAGATGTCATTTATACCCCCTGAACAATATTCCCTCTACCTAGGATATCCTCCAATCATGAAAACTCTCCATCTGAATGGACCTTTTCAGTCTCTATCTCCTACATAACATTTGACTCCCTTTACCCTGAAAACAAATAACCATATATAATGTATCTATATTTTGTGCTTAACTTTCATTGCACATATTGATTATGGTATACTATCTATCTACATGCAGACAATCTCCTACTGGACCCTGCACTTCTTGAGGGCAATGACTAATAGAATTTACTCATACATTTGGCCTACTATATAATCTATGGATACATCCATAGGTTCTACATTTCTGGATTCAACCAACGAGAGATTGAAAATATTTGAGTGAAAAATTTATACCTACAGAAAAGATACACAGACCTTTTTTTTGTCTTTATTCCATCACTGATACAAAAAACAATTTGCATACCATTTTTATTATATTGCATTTTAAGTAATCCAAATATATTTAAAATATACAGGAGTACAATATATGTACACACACACACACACACACACACACACACAGGACTTGAGCATCCATGGATTTTGGTTTCTGTAAAGAGAATAAAATCCCTCACAGATTCAGAGAGAAATACAATATATATTCAAGCCAGGTTCCAGTGGCTCACTCCTGTAATCCTAGCTACTCAGACCTGGAGCATCATGATTCAAAGCCAGCCTGGGCAGATTTCATTCCCACTTAACCAGCAAAATGCCAGAGTAGAGGCATTGCTGAAGTTGTAGAGTGCCAGCCATGAGCAAGAAAGCTGAGTAAGAGTGAAAGACACTGAGTTCAACTCCTAGAACTGAGACACACAAAAAAGTGTGTGTGAGTGTGTATGTGTATGTGTGTGTTTACAAAATACAGTTTGCTGAACTAAATTCAGGGATATAAGAAGAGACTTGCCAATATATCCAAGGCAGCAAAGCACTTGAAATCCCCCCCAAAATTAGTAATTTTTATAGACAATGCTATCTGGCATTCAGAATTTCAGAGAAATTCCTGTCTTGCCACAAATAGAATTGGCACAGAAACCCTGAGAGGTAAGTCTAAATATTGGAGACAATATTAAACCACACTGAATATACAGATCAATGCTAAAAAAGATACACAGTAAAACTCAAGTTCAACAACTACATTAAATCTCATTCCAAGAAATAGTGAGCTCGGCTCAATTCCTGAAGAAAACAAGGGACAGGGATGGAGGTATGGCTCACTGATAGTCCTGCATCCATGAAGCTCTGGGTTCTAGCCCTAGCACCTTAAAAAAGGAAAAAAAGTACAAAGGTATAAAGGAAACATCTATCTTTGAGACTACATAGTAAGGAGTAGATCCACTTTTAAAATTTCTCATATTGTAATGGCTGTTCAACCTACCCCAAGTGAGTTAACTTACCCCAAGTGAGTTAACTATGCCCACAAGTTGACTTGTTGGCACATAGTATATACTCAGTATGTGTTTGCTGAGCTGCCACTCCTTGGTTTGTTCCAAAATAGACCCACCCTCATTTGACTAAGAACAATAAAAAATCACTCACTGATTCCCTAAAGAACATTTCAGAGCAAATGCCAGTTTAATAACCTATCTCTGTTCAGCCAAGCAGCCAGACAGTTTCTTAGTTACAGAAGGCAAGGGTACAGTACTCAGTACCCCAGATGGCATCTGATTGAATATTTTTTACTTAGAGGGGTAAACACTTGTAATTTTTAACCTTAAAACAGTGAAGAGCATTCTCCTTCCAGTTCTATGTGCCATCTAAATCATGACCATGGTCAAGTTTATTGCTAGGTCAATAAAGGGGAATTCACAGCATTGACATCAATTTAATATAAAAATAAAGATGATGATGGAGTTCATGTAAGTAAAATGTAACATTTCAAGACCAAAATTTTAATTGAATAAGCAGTTTCCAATTTAAATAAGACTTCTAGCTACTAAAAATAAGACTCCTAAGCGGAGGAGGAGATAAAGAAAGGTGGAGGGTAAATAATTTTGAAATATAGTGCAACTATGACTGAGTAAGACATAAGGAACTTCAGTGAAAGCTGTTGATCAGTGACATGAGAGGGCAGAGGGAGGAAAAAAAGGAGTTATTCTGAGCAAAATATAAGATATGTATGTCTGAAATCCCTTGGTGCAAAAAACACATTAAATGTAAATGGATGGCAGGAAAGTAAAATGGGTTTGTTGAGTTGTAGGCCACAGTAGAAGGGGTAAAGAAAGAGGGTAAATGAGGATGAATAGGGTTAATGTAGCTTATTCTTTGTTTTTGTGCCAATCCTAAGGCTTGAATTCAGGGCATGTGCACTGTCTCTGAGCTTTATTGCTCAAGGCTAGTATTCTAACACTTGAGTCACAATTCAATTTCCAGCTTTTTGCTGGTTAATTGGTGGTAAGATCTTACAGACTTTCTTGGTCTGGGTGGTTTCAAACACAATTCTCAGATCTCAGCCTTTTGAATAGCTAGAATACAGGTATTAGACACCAGCACCCCACCTGTCAAAATAGTTTTAAGAAGAGATGCCAGTTGTTTCCTGTGAAAAGTGTCCTCAAGCATCTGGGGCTCTGGCTCACACCTGTAATCCTAGCTACGCCAGGAGGCTGAGATCTAAGGATCGAGGCTCAAAGCCAGCCCGGGCAGGAAAGTCCATGAGACTCTTTTTTTTTTTTTTGGTCCGGTCGTGGGGCCTGAACTCTGGACCTGGGTGCTGTCCCTCAGCTCTTCAGCTCAAGGCTAGCACTCTACCACTTGAGCCACAGCGCCATTTCTGACTTTTTTTTTCCTGCTTATGTGGTGCTGAGGAATCAAACCCAGGGCTTCATGCATGCAAGGCAAACACTCTACCACTGAGCCACTTTCCCAGCCACCAGAAAACCAGAAATAGCGCTGTGGCTCAAATGGTAGAGTGCTTGCCTTGAGCTGAAGAGCTGAGGGACAGTGCCCAGGCCCATAGTTCAAGACTCATGACTGACCCCCCCCCAAAGAAGAAAGAAAACAGAAAATGGAAAATACACACACACACACACACACACACACACACACACACACACACCACCCCTACCTAGCTACACTTGCCTTTAGTTTTACAAAACTCATCTACATTCACTGTTATTTACACAACTCATTTTTACTTGATATTATTTAAATTTTAATTTTTAAAAATCAGCATCAAGGAGAATTTAAGTATATATACCTGTCTTTCTCTCTCTCTATCTCTTTCTGCTTTCCTCTAACTCCCCAGCTTCCACTCCTCAAGGAAGTGGCAATTTATATTAGCTCAAAACTGGACAAAACCATGAGTACCTTCTTATAGAATATGTCTTTTGAACAAAGGGACAATACAAAATGAAAGCAAATAAAACTGCTAAAATTGATATTCACATACTAGCTTTGCTCAGTAGTTATCAGTTTAAGTTACCACATTTTGACTATGAAATGAAGGACTGAAATAGTATAATACACCATTATTTGGTTTCTCTGAAGATAGTTGACTATATCATTTTGTTTGTAAAGAAACTTCAGAAAACTAAGGAAACAAAACTTAATTTGGGCCTGGTGCCAGTGGCTCACGCCTATAATCTCAGGAAGCTGAGATCTGAGGATCATGGTTCAAAGCCATCCCGGGCAGGAAAATCTGTAAGACTCTTATCTCCAATTGGTTAATTGGAGATAAAACTAGAAATGGCACTGTGGCTCAAGTGGTAGAGTGTTCACCTTGAGCTGAAGAGCACAGGGACAGCATCCAGGCCCAGAGTTCAAGCCCCAGAATTGACAAAAGGAAAACAACAAAACTTAATTTTAAATTAAGCAGTTTTTCAGGGAAGAAACTAAAATTAATTCTGCATTTTCCCAGTGTCATTAGAGAAAAACAAAGATTTTCCACATAAGTTAAGCAGAAACGTAAGATTATTGCTATCTTATTCAAACACAAACTAGGTTTTGCCTAACCATCTGCATACTGAAGAGATAGTGCATTAAGTTTAATTAGGTAAATGCTATTAATTCTACAAATTTATTAGCACAGAAAATGAAATGCTCTGACCTGCAAAATATCCTGCACACCTTGTATATAGCAGCATTGTAAAGAAAGTTATTTCCTTCCCTGGGATATCTGTCACCTTTCAATTTCCTTAAAACCTGCAAAAGCATTTAGTGAGATTCTGACCTCATAGGCAAATCCTTAGCCATGTAACTTAATGAACTGGCTAGTAAGACAGCCAACCGCAAAAAAGAACAAAATATTAGAAGACTACAGAATCATATCTTCAAAGTGTTGGTCAAAAGCAATATCTTTTCTAACTCAGAAATAACTAAGGATAAGAATGAAAAAAAAACTATAGTGAAACAAAAAACTTATTCTATTTCTCCAAAGTGTTTCAAGATCTTTAAAGAGATTAGAAGGACTCTAAAAAAAAGAGGATGAGCCAACTTCCCTAAGTTGTTTGCTAGTATGTGTAGGAAATTCCTCTACTACCCACCATGTAATGAGGTCTTAGAAGGGAATATATTAATTATATATTTATATAGGTGGCTCACACCTATAATCATAGCTACTCAGGAGGGTGAGATCTGAGAATTGCAGTACAAAGCCAGCAAGGTAAGTCTATGAGACTCTTATCTTGAGCAAAAAAGATCAAGGACAACACCCAGGCTCTAATTCAAGCCCTACTACCAACAAAACAAACAAATAAATAAACAAATAATACTTAGTCATGCTACCACTTTGGGTAAGAAGTTTATTATTTTGTTATGTCATATTCATGTTTGAAATGTAAAATAATTCCATAATACTTTTAATTGATAATACCTGAATTGGGGGAGGGTGTTTGTTTTTGGTCAGTCGTGGGGCTTGAACTCAGGGCCTGAGCACTGTCCCTGAGATTTTCCCCTCGGGGCTAGTGCTCTACCACTTTGAGCCACAGTACCACTTCCAGTTTTCTAGTGGTTAATTGGAGATAAGAGTCTCAGAGAGTTTCCTGCATGGCTTCAAACTGATCCTCAGATTCTAGCCTCCGGAGTAGCTAGGATTATAGGAATGAGCTATCAGTTGCTGGCTCTATGAGATTTTTGTAGTCTAACAATAGTTTTAAGAAAATCCTTACTATTTTAAACCTTAAAATTCTACAATTTTTTCTATCTATCTATCTATCTATCATCTATCTACTTACTGACGTACCTACCTGTTAACCTCCTACCTATCTAACATTATCTATGCTAAGGATCAAACCCAAGGTTTACCTTACTAGACAAGGACTCTACGACTGAGCTAAATCTCTACCATACAATTGAGTTTAAATTTTTCAGGGATTGGAGGCATGGCTTAGTTGACAGAACACCAGCCAGCCAAAAAGCAAAAGCATCAGTTATCAAGTTCAAGTCCCAAAAAAAAAAAGAATGTTTTCAGAATTCAGAAAATATATGACAGCTAAAGACAGATGTACTCAAAATCATTGTGTTGAGATTCTGACCTGATGGACAGTAAATCTATTACATGTTTCCATTGGTCAACATTAGATTGCATTGTTTAAAAACACATTTTGGGAAGGGAAGGGATGGTAGAGGAAAAACAAAAGAGGTGGTAACAATGCTCGATAAGAAATGTACTCATTATCTTACTCATGTAACTGTAACCCCTCTGTACAGTATCCTTACAATAAAAAATACATGCAAAAAACCCCACATTTTATTGACTACAGTGGGAACCACTCATAAAACTATGATAGTAACTGGGATTATGTACATACACACTGAAACCCACATTGTACACAGACCTCAATTAAAAGTGTAAACACTCCCCCACGGTATAACTAACTCGTTTTCACTATATTTGATGTTGGTATAATTTGTGGAAGGGAAGGGAAAAAACAAATTATTTAAATAGAGATACAGGTGGGACCCATTGCAACAATGAGATTTATAAGACGTTATGTCAAAAAATGAACTTTACAACTTTGGCACGGGGGCAGGGTGGCACATGAGGGGGGATGATGGAAAGGGATGGTAAGGAGAAACAAAGGAGGAGGCAACAATGCTTAATAAGAAGTTTACTCATTACCTTGCCCAAGTAATTGTAACCCCTCTTTACGGTATTTTCACAATAAAAAAAATGTAAACATTACGAGGTTATCTCAATACTCTTCACCTAGGAATTGCTGATCCTAACACTGAATCACATGTAATATGTCAGCCTGATGAGAGCAGAAATATATTTTGAAAACAGAAGTCAGAAAATTGAAGAGCACTGCCTTTGCCACTGCTTTTGCAGTTCATTTTCCCATCAAGTGTAGATGAAAAAATTTCATAATTCATTTTTCTTAGCTAATCATCATATTCTCTTTTAGTGTTCAGCTTATAATTTTAATGTTAAGATATGAAATACTAGCATATGATCTTGAAAACTATAGGTCCTCCTAACAACTGGCAAACAAAAACATTTTTTCCAGCAATATGAGGAGAACAGATACCTTCCCTCCACTTTCAGAGAAAGAAGACATAATTGAACATCATAAAACTGTCTTTAAACTGAGAATAGCATATGTCTATATTCTCAACTACTCTGGACACTGAGATCGAAAAGGACAGGATGAGAAAAAAAGGATGAGTGCTCATTTCAATGAACAAGCAGGGAATAGTGATTTGAGCCTATAGTTCCAGCTATATGGGTCCAAGGCCAGCCTAAGACAAAAAGCTCAAAAACCTATCCAAAAAATAAATACAGCACAAAAGGTTGGGAGCATGATTCAAGTATAGTGCTTATATAGCAAAAACAAGGCCCCAGGTTCAAATCTCATTAACACAAAAAAATACTGTCCCTGTAAATATTAGTTCTGATAAAGCAGTCCCATTCACATCCAGATTCAGATTATTGTTATGTCCTATGAAAGTAACCTACAAATGGCTCTGTAGTTCAAGTGGTAGAGTGCTAGCCTTGAACTGCAGAGCTGAGGCATAGCGCCCAGACACAGAGCTCAAGACCCATGATCAAAACCAACCAAAAAAATGTTCATGAAAGTAACCTACATCATTGATAAAATCTGCAATTTTGGTTGGTTATTTCCCTTCATAATGCATTCTCTGTCAATTGTATTTACAATAAAACCTTTATTTTCTTTTTGTTTGGTTTTGATTTTAGAGATTCTTCCTATGTATTCCAGGATGTCCTCAAACTTCTCTTGACTTTTGTCTTCCAAGGGCTGGGATTACAGATATGCACTACTACCCTTGGCAATCACTGTATATTCTTAAAGGAATACTTCTGAGTTTTATTTTTCTTTTCTTTCCTTCTTCCACATGAATGGAAATCATATAAATGAGATACTGTGCCTACTGACATTTTTATTAATATAGAAAAATTAAAAGTTATAAGAGAAAAAAACAACTTCCAAATCATACTTTTATTCCTAAAACTTAAGGTATATATGTTATACTTATTATACCCAAGAACATGTTCAAAGGCAATACTTACTATAACTGCCAGGAGATTTTTCTTCATAAGTAAAATGAAGTTGCAACTCCTCTTCAGACATCTCACAGATGAATACTTTTAGCAGACAGCAAATAATAAACAAAGCATTATGTGTCTGCCAAATGAAGATGTGGCTGAAAAGACAAAAATCATACAAGAATATATAATCATGAGGAAATTAGTTTGTATCTAGTCTATGATTTCTCAATGATTTTTCCCAGTCTACTTGTAATATGGGAATGATGTTTTCTCATGATTACATTGGACAAATGATACCTATTACCATTTTACTTTACACTTCATTCTGTGTATCTGGAATCTACTTTAGAAACTGTTTATCAATGCCCATAAGCATAACTGCTCTTCTTTCTTAATTTTATAATTGTTCAACATAAAAGCAATTTTTAAAAAAACAATGGTAGTATGAGGAGAATAAATGCAATACATTATAAAATTTTAAATGGGAGCTGGGTACCAGGGGCTCACACCTGTATCCTAGCTATTCAAGAGGCCAAGATCTAAGGATCACAGTGCAAAGCCAGCCCAGGCAAGCAAGTCTGTGAGACTCTTATCTCCAATTAACCACCAGAAAACTGGAAGTGGCACTGTGGCTCAAAGTGGTAGAGCACTAGCCTTGAGTAAAAAAGCTCAAGGACAGAACTCAGGCCTTGAGTTCAAGTCTAGATAACACTTTTTACTTACATTAATGAATATTAACTCATTTAAAAGCTTTAATTGGATTCAAGATAATTTGAGTAGATACCATAGAAATAGACAATCTTTTAAGAAACCACTTTCTAAAAACCGTTTTATAAATTCTGTGTCTAAGCTGGGCACTGGAGATATGAGAACGGCAATCAAAGCCAGCCCAGGCATAAAGTCTGACACTAATCTCCACTTAACCAACAAAAAGCTTGAAGTAGAAATGTGGAACAAATAATAGAACACTAGCCTTCAATAAAAAAGCCAAGTGAGTTCAAGCCCTAGTGCTGGAACAAAAATAAATGTTTATGTCAGCTGAAACCATAGCTGGAGGTACAGTACCTGCCTAGCAAGTACAAGGCCGTAAGTTCAAAATCTAGTACCACCGATAAATAAATAAGTCAGCAATCTTAAAAAATGCTTAGGTCATAAAAATTTAATATACCTAGGGGCTGGGAAGGTGGCTCAGTGGTAGAGCGCTTGCCTTGCATGCATGAGGCCCTGGGTTCGATTCCTTAGCACCACATAAGCAAAAAGAAAAAAGCCGGAAGTGGCACTGTAGCTCAAGTGGTAGGGCACTAGCCTTGAGCTGAAGAGCTGAGGGACAGCGCCCAGGCCCAGAGCTCAGGCCCCACAACTGGACCCCCCCAAAAAATTTAATATACCTAATACAGAGAATATATAGGAAACACCTATGGAAAAAAAAAAGTTACTGTTTAACTGGGTATGATTATGATTAGCAGTGATAATGATGATATATTTTAAAATACTGTCCAAAAGTCTAAACACAAATTTCAAACTTCATAATCTTATTCCCTATGTCTTATAATGCTAAAACCTTCTTTGAGAGAGAGAGAGAGTGTGTGTGTGTGTTGGTCCTGGGGCTTAAACTCAGTCACTTGTACCTTTTTTGGTGGTTAATTGGAGATAAGAATTTCACGCAGATGGACCCATTGCAACAATGAGATGTACAAGTCCCTATGTTGAAAAATGAACTTTACAACTTTGGACGGGGGGGGGGGGGGGGGGGTGGAAGAGGGAGGGATGGGAATGGATGGGAAGGGGAAACAAAGGAGGCAACAATGCTTGATAAGAAATGTACTCATTACCTTGTCCATGTAATTGTAACCCTTCTGTATGGTATTTTCACAATTAAAAAAAAAAAAAGAATTTCATAGAGCTGGGCGCCAGTGGCTACTCAGCCACTAGCTACTCAGGAGGCTGAGATCTGAGGATCACAGTTCAAACCCAGCCCGGGCAGGAAAGCCCATGAGACTCTTATCTCCAATAAACCACTAGAAAACCAGAAGTGGCGCTGTAGCTCAAGCGATAGAGAGCTTGCCTTGAGCTGAAGAGCTGGGGGACAGCGCCCAGGCCCAGAGTTCAGACCGCATGACCGACAAAAAAAAAAAAGAATTTCATGGATTTTTCTGCGTGTGTTGGCTTTGAACTGCGATACTCAGATCCCAGCCACCTAAGTAGATAGGATTACAGGCAGAAACCAATGGCAACCACCCACCTTTTTTTTTCTTAATAAGGAAAATAATTCCTTCACATGGGGCCTTCAAAAGGCCATAAGTTATTTCCATCAATAAATGAAAAACAATATACTGCTAAATATAAGGAGAGCATGATTTAATTAGCCAACTTACTTCTGACATTCTGCTGAAAGTTTGAGTTCTTTGGTTCTAGAAAGGAAGACCTTAATTAATGCACCAAGATTTCCTGTTCGAGGATTGTTTTCAACTGCAAGGCAAGAAAGAGATTAAAAAGTTAAAATTAACAAGTGAAAACAAAGCAAGCATACCATTTTATTTATAAAGCCAATGTCAAATTAAACTTGCTCACTGACCAACCTCATTTGAACTGTTGCTCTCGAAAATAGTAGAAAGTGAGAGGAAAGATGGTGTATTAAATGCATGCATCTATAATTTCACTCCAAGAATTAGAAGAATCTGGTGACACAGAAGAAAATAGATTCTGAAGAATGAAAACAAGAGAAAGAAACCTGAAAGAAGGTGGCAGGGAAGCAGAAAATAAGAAACAATCCTGGCACAAGAAAAGCAGCGAAGAGCCAGTCATTGGATCTCTGACTGTGGCAAGGGAAATAGACTCCAATAGAGGGTAAAATTCCATAGACCTGTCCACTCTGGCTTTGAGAAAAATCCTACAAAACCTGCAAGCCTTAGCTCCATACAGGGTATAGTATAGGTTAGCCTGGGTGAAGAAGCTCCCTTTAGCTCTGGGAGGAACAGTGAATTACCAGCTTGTGAGAGTGTCTACTGTCCAGACGAAGTTATTTTGGGTCCCAGGAACAGCTCAATGACCCAAAAGGCACTGCCATAGAAGTTGGTTATAAATCAGTCATGAGAGGTATTTGAGGGAAGTGTGACTGACAGGACCCAGCAAGAAAATCTGAACTGCAGAAAGCAATACTGTCAGCTTAGACAACAGAGGCTTTGGAAGCCTGGCTATATCAGATGAGAGAGGCTTAGGACTCCTTGTTAAGCCACTAACTTAACTCCTTGTTAAGCACTAATTTTACCTGGCAGGCCTTCATAAGAGATAAATGAGACTCCAAAGGCAGTCACTCCAGATAACTGGCTATGGAGGCAGTGTGGAACCCAAGTGCTGGGTCACAAAGCAGAGGTACTGTTAGAGGCAGCTAGAAGATGTAGGTGTGGCAGTTATCCATTGCTTCACCCTCTCCTAAGAAAGGACTTTCACTGCCTGAGGCCAGGACAACAAGGAACCTTTGAGCCTTAGCTTCCAAAATATTCACTGTCAAGAGACTAACCCTTAGCCCTGTGTACTGACTGCTGAGGGAGAGTCCTCCTACCCAGATCTAAGCCACATTAGTTCCACAAATGTCTTGAACTCCACAGAGCAGAATTTATATTGAAGGACAGGGAATAACAAAAAAAAGAACAAAAAAACAAAAACACCTCTCAATGTTTTATACAAATGAGTTTGTTGCTGTTTGTTTGTTTCTATTTTTTGTTAATTTAACTGTATGATTTCTCTCATTTTTTTTTGGGGGGGGGGTCCGGTCGTGGGGCCTGAACTCTGGGCCTAGGCACTTTCCCTCAGCTCTTCAGCTCAAGGCTAGCACTCTACCACTTGAACCACAGCACCACTTCTGGCTTTTTTCTTATGTGGTACTGAGGAATTGAACCCAGAGCCTCAGGCCTGCAAGGCAAGCACTCTACCACTGAGCCACCTTCCCAGCCCCTCTCTCAATGTTTTATATAAATGTGTTTGTTGCTGTTTGTTTCTATTTTTTGTTAATTTAACTGTATGATTTTTTCTGTGTATTTGACATAGGCCATTTTCATTTTAGTTTTTACTTTTTTTAGTGTAGGTTATTAAATTCCTTTGGTTTACTTATTAGTTTTCCTTCATTCTCCCTTTCTTTTTCTCCAGAGTTATCATAGCTGAACTACTGTACTTGCCTCTCTGTTTTAAATTTTAAATCACATTTTCATCCATTTTCTTCTTTCTTTCTTTCTTTTTGGTCGGTCATGGAGCTTGAACTCGGCCTGGGCACTGTCCCTCAGCTCTTCAGCTCAAGGCTAGTGCTCTACCACTAGAGCCACAATGCCACTTCCGGTTTCCTGATAGTTTACTGGAGATATGAGTCTCGTGAACTTTCCTTCTCTGGCTGACTTTGAACCTTGATCCTCAGATCTGTCTTAGTAGGTAGGTCTATATGTATGAGCCACCAGTGTCTGGCTCTTGATCCATCTTCTATACCCCTTCTCATTTCCTTTTCCCTTCGTGTATAAATGTTTACTTGCTCATGTTTTCTACTATTCCTGTTCCTTTATCCCTAATCCTTTCTCAGTCCCTTCACTCTTCAATTTCAAGAAAGATAGGACTAATCCCATGGACAAAGATTAAACACCAAACAGCCAAGATAAGAAAAAATGCCCCTACACACTTTATAGGTTAAAAACACAGTGTGAAGAAATTATGGGCCTGGGAATGTGGCTTAGTGATAGAGTGCTTGCCTTGCATGCGTGAAGCCCTAGATTCGATTCCTCAGTACCAGAAAAAGCTGGAAGTGGCACTGTGGCTGAAGTGGTAGAGTGCTAGCCTTGAGCAAAAGAAGCTCGGGGACAGTGCCCAGGCCCTGAGTTCAAGCCCCAAGACTGTCAAAAAAGAGAAAAGAAAAGACTATGAAGGCTGCAAAGAAAATAAACTAGTTATGTACAAAGGCAAGACCATTAGAATCACAGCAGATTTCTAAACACAAATTCTAAACGCAAGAAGGTGTGAAAGGTCATTAATTCAAACCCTGAAAAATAATAACTGCAAACTTAGATTAGTGTACCCAGTAAAGCAATCCTTCATAATTGAAAAAGAAATAAAATCTCCCAGAAAAACAAAAGAAATTCATGGCAACTAAACATATTTTTTAAAAGACATTCAACAACAACAACAACAAAATCAGAAGAAATTTGTTTTAAAAAGATACGTTACCCACAGAAGAAAATAAAAAACATTTAAATGCAGAAAAAAATAAGCCCTATTAGATGAGTAGATTATCAAAAAATAGCAAAGAAATAACTAGTATAAAAACAAGAAAAATGTTAGGAAACACATTCTATTAATGTTGAATGTTAATAGTCTCAATTCTCCAATAAAAAGATACAGTATAGATGCAGCTGTAGTGCTCAGTAGACAATATGTTGAAAATGAATTATACAACTTGTGGGTAGGGATGGAAGGGAAAACTGGGAAAGAGTGAGGGAAAGCATAACATTATCCAAAAAGAAATGTACCCTTTACCTGACGTATATAACAGTAACCTTGTACATAACATTTATAGTAACAATAAAAAATTAAATAAAAAAATATAATAAGGGGGGGACCCAAGATGGCGATGAAACAGTAGGGAAATACCACAGCTCTCTCCAACCAAATAGAGAGTTCGAGTTCCAACATTCGGTTTCCCCAGGAGACCAACAAAAGCAAAAAAGTGAACACCAGAGAAATACTGAAAGTGAAAAAAGAATAGGAGAAAACTTCAGAACCTACACAAAGATGGAAAAGCACAAAGACCTTCATCCCACCCCTCACTGAAGGCTTGGCTCCAGGCCAAGCCCCGAAAGCTGCCAGCTTGCAGCTGCCGGGGACCCCATAGAACTCCATAGCACTCCGGTGCAGAAGCCTAACATGGTGCTGGTACAGGACCTAGACTGTGTAAACAGAAACAGAGACCTCGAAATGCAGACCCCCGAGCTCCCACCACCACCCCGCCCAGCCCACAATCATCTCAACAGAACTAGGAATGTGGTAGTGACCAGTGACCTACAGCACACAGAAACAGCAATCTACCCCAGCACCGCTGGACAGTCACCAACTAGTTCCAGAAGAAGTGAGTCTCCTTTGAGGGATGCCCGCCCACCATGGAAGATCAGTGCTGGTAGTAACCTCCCTACCACCTGGGCTACTGGTTCCTCTGAAGCTGAGAATTGTGCAAGTGCCCCAGCAACCGGTGGAGCACACCAGCCTGCCAGGTTTGACCAAGAGCGCCCCCGGGAGGGAGCTCAAACGTGACCAGTCCTTGGTTGAAATCAGGAACTGGGCCCCAGCAGCCAGCAGCAACAGAAGTCCGACCTGTGTGTCCATGGCAGGAAACCCAGCAGCCCAGGTCCACGAGACCCTAGCTGAAGTCGGGAACAGTGCTCGTGGGCCTCAGTAGCCAGTGGTGGAAGAAGCCCCACCTGTGGGGCTGGGGATTGGGCAGCTTAGGCCACCAGTACCTAGCTAAAGTTTGGAACTGTGAGCGGTCTCCAGCAACTGGTGGAATATATCCAGCCCACCTGGTTTTGCCAAGAACACCCTTGGAAGGGAGCACAACAGTCTAGGCTTCCAGTCCTTGGCTGAAGTCGGGAACTGCTTGTGGGTTCCAGCAGGTGGCTGAATGAGCCCCACCTGTGTCCCAGGCAAGGGCCCACGCTGTCTAAACCACCTGTCCCTGACTGACCTCAGGCACTGAGCACATGCCTCAGTAGAGGATGGAGTGTGTGCCCACTAGAATCTACCAAGAGTGAGCCCTACATGAGTCAGATTATCAGCTGGAGATCGGCCTTTCTCCCAACAGGACGAAGACCAGGCAAAGTCTCAGCCAGTCCAGAGCTGAGAGCAAGCTTCAACAATTGACCCAGGAACCAACCCAGAGCCAAGCATAGGCAGCCATCTATTGACCAAAACAGAGTTCCAGATTCATCTCCAATCCCTGAATTCTCATGTGAAAAATCACAGTGAAAAATTACAAGATTCATCAACAGCCAAGACAACAAACCATCCCCAAAGACCAGCAGCCACCCAGGAAAGAATTCCAGTGAAAGTGAAAAAGAAACAGAAGACAAATGCTACAATCCAAGAGCTGATAGAGGCAATGACTCAAGAATTAAAGCAAGATGGGCTGGGAAGTTGGCTCAGTGGTAGAGCGCTTGCCTTGCATGCCTGAGGCCCTGGGTTCGATTCCTCAGCACCACATAAGCAAAAAGAAAAAAAAAGCCGGAAGTGGCACTGTGGCTCAAGTGGTAGAGGGCTAGCCTGAGCTGAAGAGCTGAGGGACAGCACTCAGGCCCAAAGTTCAGGCCCCACGACCGGACCCCAAAAAAAAAAAAAAGAATTAAAGCAAGAAATGGATCAGAAATTGAAAGAACAAAGAAACAAATTATCAAGAGATCCAGGAATTCAAACAAGAGATGCACTCAAAAACAGATGCATTA